CATATTTCCTGTTGCGGTTAAAACCCTCGCCGACTTACATCGGAGTGCATTTTTATTGGATACACAATGTAAGTAATCTTGGAATGGTCTGTCCTTGAGAGACGTCATAGCAACTACAGGTTATCCTATTCATGCGCGACGTTTCTGTTCTTCAATTAAAACATTTACTACCAATTATCGATACTAAATTAAAATAATCCTTCAAAGCCCACCAGGAAACATGTATAGCACGCTTTAACAACTAGTAATTCTACAGTTTGTAATGGGTTTTGTACGATTCTCAGTACAAACAGCGATTATTTCTTTTAAAAACATTAACAAATAGGTCGTTGTAATGATGACGTGTTGTTTTCTTTTATGAGCGGCCTGAATTTTTATTTACACGACCTTCGGGTTCATAGGATTGAATTAATAACGTTTAGAATGAAAATATATACCATGAAAACAAAATAATGGTAAGAACAGAAGAGAAATGAGCAAAAAATAATTAAAATTTGATACCTGGAATACAGCGTTTTAGTATGAAACACGGAGATAATACAACTTTAAATGGGGAAGGTTTGGTAAATATACCACACAGGATGTACACAGACTACATAATATGCTGTCTAAATCGGTCTCAAATACGGAAGTGAGACCTGGAATTTGAGAAATCAAGACCGCGATCTTTTAGGTGCAGCATATGGGATTTCTGAGGTCAATGCATTCTAGACATTTTCCCTTCAGATGATTACTAGAAACGCCAACATTACGTCACGCCCTTGAAATGAATTACGGCGAATGAAACATAAAACAAGCGAATACAAGTCGTAACCCTTCGCTGCTTGATGCAACATATAGTCTATAGGGAATTCGATGAACTATATTGTCACGCCTCGTAGTAGGCAAGCCGTTTAGCGACGTAATTATTATCACGATTCCAGGTAAATGGCCGGACATTCTGGTTCGTAGGTTATTCGGGCGGTCTCTGGTTCGAGTTTCTGCCTGGAGACATGCTGTCCTCACTGGGGTAGTGCTTTAAGGTAAGCCATGCCAACTTCCATAATATACTGGGAGGGTGGGAAGTAAGTAGGCATTAAGTAATCGCTTAGAATTGGAAATATAGAGGTTTTAACCATTTCTCAATGCCTACTTACTTCTCACCCAGTTACGAATTGACAAGTATTACCAATTCGTAACTGAAAATTTGTCTTGCTCGACTTTACAGACCTACAGTTGAGAATACGTCGTCAAATTAACCGAGAAACTAACGAGTTTTGGTAATTTTTTTTAAAACAGCTGTGTTAAAAGTTCGTCTAAGTCTTTCAGTAAACTGATCCTTTAAACTGACCAACGTTAAATGAGTATGCCAGTTTCCGATTTAGACGCCAAATAACACATTTAATATAACTAAATTTTCAGCATGAATATTTATTCACACAGCATAAGACGGATTTTTATAAAACAGTAATATTAAACATCAAATATGGGAGATCACGTGTTTCGGCATCTATGCCAACATCAGACCTGTTTACTAGGAAGGGTACTTATGTAACTTCGCATCACAATTGCATCAAATTTTAAAAATAATAAAAAGCATAAAAAATTCGCTGAAAATTAAAAGTCACTTTTCACACACTGTTCACTGTCTGTTCAACTGAGAAGAGTGTTTCGGATCAATGAGGTCATCATTAGGTCCCGCCTTGCTACACTACAAACGTATAGGCATTTTTAAACTTACTATTGCAAATGAGCTAGCAGGACATTTGTGTGTATTGTACATGACGTATACTATTTCAAATTCTTATAAATATTTATAAGAAATTTAATCCCTTATTGTGGTTATTAATTATGATCACCTATATACACTCACACTCTCACTGATTTTTATTGATCCGTTGTGTACAATAAAATTAATTTCTTTATATTTTATCTAAAATGGCTTGCGGTGTTGTTTATGCGTTGACAATAAAATTAAATACAAACCAGTTGAGTGGATTTTAGACGAAACATAATAATGGACAGACGGACGGACGCTACATTATGCGTTATTCTCTCATAGGCCTGTAAGTGCATGTGTAAATTGAACCTATACACATTATTATGAAGATAAAATAGTTTATTTCTAATGTAATGATTTACGAATTATAACAGGGTGTCACAATATAAAATTTCGCAAAAGAAACCTCATTATATCACAGCGGTAATGTCAGATACATAGTCAGATAGGCAAATGAAGGCTAATAGCACTTCTGCATTGTAACGAAACTTGTCCAAAAATCGTTCACGTCCGTCTTGACATACGTGGTATGTTTTTTTCTAAACAAAGAATCCACTTTGTTTTAATGGTGCTATTAGAATGAGTAGCTACCCCTTCCCCTCTCGTGATTTGATATTCTCTGTCCATTTGCATGCGACATTAGACTTGCTAGTGTGCGATACATTACCAGTCACGTGATATTGCTGTAAATTGTTTTGTCAGCCATTTTTATTTTTAGGAGCTAAATGAGGGGGGGGGGGAAGGTTAAGGCGTGGTTATACCTGTGGCTCGATTTTAGTCAATAATTTCACGAAATTACGATACAATGTAGACTTTATAGGCCTGCTGTTTCCGTCAGTACACGTTAAAAATTATCAGAATTCAGTCGAATGGGCCAATGTGTGCTTTATGCATAAGCACGACAGTCTAGGCTGTATTATTTGTTGCAACAAATACAGCGGACACAAGATTTCTTAACAGGGCGTAGCAGTTTGTCCGTTTCCGATCTCGCGGGTTGCTTATTTTTGGTCAGTTCACACACGCTGGAACCGCAGGTTCGAATTCTGATCGGAGCTTTGTTAGATTATGTTTTCTGTCGTAGTGTATAGATGGAGGCCTTGTGAGGAAAAATCATGTATCGTACTTTTGCCATAGTTTATTACAATCATGAACATTTATATTCCATTACATGGGAAATGCGGTTGAAAAAGTATCTACAAGTTTTATCATTTTTTGAGATGGGTCGTTTTCTGGCTACGTGGAAGAGGTTAAAATTGAAATTTACGTTGAACCAATAACAAATTTTAGGAAATCTGTCCTACTCTTATTCTACAGGCCTGCTTTGAATACCAAACTGAATTGAAATCCACTTATATTGAACACGTGGAAAACAGACAGGCCTCTAAGTAATATACAGCATAGGTTTTGTGGGAAAACATAAAAGCCTTTCTTCCGCAATGTTTCATTTCCATAGTTAAAATATGGGTCCTATGCACACACAAGTTTCGTGTCTTTTCAAATGTGGAATTTTTTGTGAAGTAGCATTTGAGTGCTTGGCTTTGTGGTTAGAAACATTTAAAGTGGGTATCGGGAAGGAGAGAAATGGGCATAAAGATGAAATTAACTAGATTCGCGGTTCTGGATCTTTTTAAAAAATTAAATCCACTCAGCTAGTCAAAAATTTCTTGTTTTTATTAAACCCGAAGGTTAATTTCTGTATTAATAAAAGCCTGGACAATTTAAATTGAATTCACACCTTGACGATTATTTAAAAAAAATACGTTTTACTATTGTCTTTCATTTAATATGTACTGTATCCTAGTTGCAATTATAATCTGTAACAAGCTGAATATGAATTAACGCTTGTCTCTGTGACAGTTGCACTTTATTTTATAGTGGATTATGTATCGTACTTTTTAAAACCGATGTTTAAAATTCACCATCGTCCGATTTTTGTTGACTTTAATTGCATATTTCCGAACAGCAAACTCGTTTTTTAATGTTAGTTTGGGTTGGTAGTCTTCTTTTTCATATGTCCAATCAATGTTCATCCAGAATTTGCGCAATCTCTGCCCGGATTATCCAATGGCAAAGAGGAATGCGGATTATCCAATGATATTTGAGCAAAGCAACGCCTCTACCAATCACGTGAAGTTGTGGTTTAAGTTCCTTGCTTCTGTGGAGAATGGCTTTAAGACTGATATTGATCCCGTCCCTGGAACGGTTGGAAACATCATCACAAAACAAAAAAGGTTATCGAGAAGTCACAGTCGAGATATCTAAAGAATTCTTTATGATAATGGTGATAATCCAGGCTCTCAAGAAACTAAATAAATATGACTGTATTTTGGGATGTGTTTGGTAGAAATTGACCGACGTTTCAGTGGTGTTTGTTGCCTAGATTACCAGAGTACTTATTGCAAACTACTTCCTATGATAATGATTTGGCAATAATGCTTCGAGGACTAGTGAATTATATATTGATCCTCATAGAAAAATACACCCATTTTAATTACTATAATTAGAGTAAGAAAATGACGAAATTAAGATCAGATTAAATTCTGGAAGTACTTGAAACCACTGAGAATACATATGTAGGATATTTGTGAACAAATTTATTAAGATATCTGGACTACTAAAAGATAAAGTAACAGGGTACTGGAGAAACCAGTAAAGTGAGGTTAGGTTCTTAATTCGTACTCTCCACCAAACATTATTAAAGTCGTCAGATCAAGTAGTTCTTCAGCACTTTGTTCTTGAACACCGCCATCTATATACTTTGTTTGGGGCGATATAATTCTGAGACATTTCTATTCACCTATGATAGCCACATCCCGTTTCCCCCAAATCCATCCCCACATTATACTTCCGTCTCTTCCACCTTCCATCTAGTCGCTCTTCGACAAGTTTCATCACAAAAACTCCGAAAGTATAAATTTCTATCTCCAGTCGTCCTACATCGACACCCCTCACCTTGCAAATATCAGTCTTAAAACATATCAGCTCACTTCTCGTTCCTTGAACAAGTTTAGAGAAGTCTAAATATGTGAAAGTGATTAACATCGATACTGAATATGGC